AATATTTATATTTATATTAATTAAATATATTTAATATATTTATATTAATTAAAATTAAATAATTTATAATTTATTAATATTTATAATTTATATAATTTATATTTATATATTATATATTATATATTTTTATAATATAATTTATAATTAACTAAATCTCCAAAATTATTTCAAAATGAATATGAAACAAATTTTTTATTAATTTTATAAAAAAAAATAAAAAAAGAAAAAAAACAAAACGAAAAAAAATAAGGAAAAGATTTATTTAATTATAAATTATACATAGCATTTTCATATAAAGTCGTGAAAATGGATATAAAAAAATTTTTTTCGGATCTGGTAATTAAGAATTAAGAAAACAAGTTTGCTCCTTTCAAATGTAGGAAAGTAATATAACGGAGAATTGCGGAATTTATTTTCGAATCATGGAGCAGTCCGTTTTCATATGACAAACCTGAATAAGTGCGAGTGAAAGTTCGTAAGTTAAATATTTTTTGTAACTTTGATTTGCAGACTTCTCAAGTTTTCTACAATTTTTTATAATATATGCTATATGGTTAAATGTTTATTATTATCTTAAATTGTTAAAAATCAAAATCGTAAAATTATAAAATAAAAAGAAAATCAAATAAAGAAATAAATAAAATCACTTAATAAAAATAAGTACAAATTACAAAATATATAATGAATTTAATATCTATTAATTTATAATAATTTATATATTTCTATATAAAAATTGTTCAATTATATAATGTATCTATGTAATAACAAACTTTTGATTGGAATTATATTCTTCTCCAAGTATAAGACTTTTAACGTAATATCAATTGACATTCCAGGGTGTAATACGTGAACATCAGACAGTGAGCTATAGTGACGTGAAAGTGGTCGACTAAAAGAGGCGGAATGCAGAGTGTTGGGCGCTACGGTGTGTACACTGATCCATGGTACCAGGTAATTGGAGTACCATGTTTATATGTGTTTGTATATACATGAACCATACTTTTGAAATACTATAATTATCAACTCATTAAACATTCAGTTTTATCTAATATTTTTAAATATTCGTTTTTTACTTAAAACTTATTTTATTATAACAATTTAATCTTTTAAATATAATTTTATTATAATATTTAATCTTTTAAATTACAATATTTCATAACTATAAATATTAAATTATAATAAAATCATAATTATAAAATTAATATGTTGCACTTTAATATCATTTTGAATTATAAAATAGTCAATTATTTAAAATTTAAAGAATGTAAGAATATGAAAATAAGAATATCAATATAAAAAATATTAAATAATGACAAAATTGTTTTTCAAAAAATTATATAATAAAGCATAAAAATTTATAAAAATTTTGCATTATTTTATATTTTCATCGGTTTATAAAAAATGTCCTAAATAACGTAATATTTATTTCATGTTTCTTACGTGAACATGACAAATGTGAAAGCGACCTTGAAACTTTGGAACATCCTTCGCATCAATACTAATGTCCAATAAGTATCTATTCAAAAAGATTTCTCTCTAATAAATCAGATTATATAGTTAGAATTTCGAATTTAAAAAAATTTAAATTATAATGTTAACTTAATCAATTATATAATATTTGTTAAATTATAATTTTTTTTCTATAAATATATACTAATGATAAATTACAAAATAGTAATTTTATAAATTTAAACAGAGTTTAATAAATCAGTTTTATAAAATTTAATAAATACATTCTTTATATTGATGCTTAAATAATAATTATATTGAAAATAATATTTATATTATATTTTACAGTGATAATATTAAGAAGATATAAAAAAATGTTGAAATATTAATGAAAATGAAGGAATTTAAGAATGAAAGCAAACAACTATTTGTTCGAAGTCAATTATTCTAGACGAGCATGCAGCGATGGTTATTGGATGAACCTGCATCTGATTTATGCAGTAGCAATTATCAATCACAAATTAAGGTATAAATGCATAAATATGAACATTATTTATATAATATATTCAACAAATTATCAAAATTATTCTTTAATAATAAATAAATTTTAAGAGATATATTATATATATAAAATTTTTTAAATATAAAAAAAAATTAATTTAAAAGTTCAATTGATAGCATTGTTTATTCGTTTATCTTTCATTTCGTTTAACATAAATTTAAAATTGTTTATAATTAAATAAATTTAAACCGATATTTTTATATACTAAGTTTTATATTTGTTTTGGTTTTTACAAAAAGTAATAATTCTATAAATATATTAACAATCTTTATAATTAACACACTATTAATATTCTATATAAATTGATGACATTGTTAAAAATACAAAGTTACATAATGAAGTTACATAACAAAGTTTTTTAAAATTTCATGCATTAGAAATTTCACATAGGAAATATTATTGAATCGTAACAGAGAATGCTGGAACGCGGGAAATTTTATTGTAATGCGGCAATCGCAACGGCCTTGGCAGTTTCAGATGAGAACCAAATTAATTCTGACAGTGAAATTACGAAGTTGTCTTTACATCCATCGAATGAAAGATTTGCTTACAATAATCTATATGCTATACCACGAGCTGATTTACACGAGATAGAATGGTAAATTAAATTTCTTTGTTTATTACTGCAATATATAAATTGTTATTCAAAATATAAATTATAAATAATCTTTGAAATTATATGATAAATAAATGTTAAAATAAAGTAGAAGAAATTATCTTCAGGATAGAAGCTGACTCGTTAGATGCTTATGTTTCAAGATTTGTAACTGGTTTGTCAACTATAACACGAAATAATTTAAGAAAATGTTGCCGAACTTCCAGTTATTCCAATCATTCTCTACCATTGTCAGCTGGTTCATATTCTTGTTATACATCAGCAATTTCCAATCAAAATTTTTTTCGAGGTATAACAATGAAAAACCAATCCAATGGAGGACTTGCTATAATTCATGAGGCAATTCCACGTCCTATTTGGCCGATGACATTTTTTAATTCGCGCGATCTTTATCAAAATAACGAAAATCCTGAATATGATAGTAAGTAATGATATTTTTGTATAAAGAATAGGTTCTTTTTTACATTAAAAATATTGAAATGTTCATATTGTGATTTATAATTTATAATAGCTTCATACACATATTGCGGATGTTGTTGCGCATATAGCTATTCATATTGCGATTGGCATTATGAAAAATCTATAAATATGTCAGCACATGAAGTTCTTCTTGAATTATCTCAAACACTGGATTCCATGATAGAAGGAAAAAATATTATGACACCAGAAGAAATATTACAAAATATTTCATATCAGATTGCGCAAAGAATTGATTTTAAAGGGGAGTTTTACGAATATGTTTATCATAATTCTTCATTTTTATCAAGCAAACGATCATTTTTAAACGATACCAATCCGTATGAGTTAAGTTGTAATAAAAATTCATCATCGAAAATCAATCCAGTAAATTCAAAACTTTATAATAATACACGAAATTCTCATCTATATAATCCTTGGTATACTTGCTTATGTACTTGTGAACGTACTCGTAGATTTCTATCTTCAAAAAATGACCAAGAAAATACAATGAGTGATGAATTGAAGAGAAAAGAAAGTCCTCTTATGCTTTTAATGGATAATCAATACCAAAAAATAAAATCAGAATTATTACAAAACAATATAGATAATTCTAAATCATATGGTTGCAAATGCTTAAATCATTCAATTTTTCATAATAAAAAAATAAAAAATGTATATATGAATCGTTATATTAAAAATGATATAAAAGAAACGATTAATATCAATGAAGAAACTAAACAAGATCGGAATAAAATTATTTCTAATGATCCAGAATATTCTAAGGTAAGTCTATATATTTTTAAATTATAAAATTAATTCAGATAAATTTTTATAATTTTATTAATAATGTGATTTTATTAATGAATGAACATATCTTTATATGAGACAAAAATATTTATTTTGAATAAATAATTAAATGAATATAATGTACGTTTTTCTTGTATATAATAACAGTGCAAATAACAATATTCACAATGTCAATGTAACAAACGTATCAAGACTAATGTTTCAGCAGTTGGAGTGCAGTGATGGTGATTCATTCAACAAAGATAGAATCTTCTCATCCAATAAAAATAATTGGAATTATCGTATGCAAGGATTCGCTGAAAATTTAGATTTCACGCTTGATGTTTCACGAGCAGAACGTTTGGGTCATGTAATTGCAAAAGCAAAACGGAAACGACAATGGTGCAGAGTTTTAACTGCCTTCTTTGGACTAGTCTTTTTTGTTTTAAGTGTTGTCATTGTCTCCTTATCCGTAACGAAAGGTCGTAAAGTATTTGGAAGTATGTAATGTTATTTACAAATGATAAAAACTTAATCGAAATACTCTAACTATTATAATAGTAAATATATTGACTGATACTTGCTTTATTTCTAGTACCTTACCCAAGTACTTTACGTATTTTTAGTACCTTATATTACTAAGTTAAATTAACAGGATTTAAATCCTGTTGACAATATATGGCTGTGACCATGTTCTCACATATAAATATTAATATGCAATATATATAAAAAATAAATAAAATAATAAATAAATAATAATGAATAAAAAATAAATATTGAGCGATAATTAAAATGACAATTAATGACAATAAACAATTAAAATGAAAATTATTTATAAATATTCAAGTTATATGATAATAAATTTAAATAAATAAAAAATGTAATTTTTATATTAATGTTATTCTTCTCTTAGTATAATTATTTACATTTTTATAATTCACTGTTTTTATTAAATTAATAATATTTAACTAATAATTATAAAATACTTATTTAAAAAAATATATATTTTAATGAAAAAAATTTTTATTCACAATTATTTAAATTATTTAAATTATTTATTAAAATCAATAATTGCGCATGCTTTTACGAATGAGTGTACAGTACAAGTAATGTCAAATATAACTTGATGATCTATTATTATTATAAAAAACAATATATGCAAAATTGAAGTCTTAATAAAAGTATTAATATTAATAAAGTGTTAATAATTCTTTTATATTTAAAATAGTAAAATAAATTATATAATTAAAAAATTAAATTTAATACTTAACATAAAGGTTATATTGATTTATATATTTTCGCATTATCTCAGTTATTTACTTAATCGTTTTGTCAATAATAAAAATTTTATTTGTCTGATTTAAGGTATGAATTCAATTTTTATCTATATCAATTATTGTGAAAATGAATATTATATGAAAAAATGAAATATTTATCGAATTACTTATTAGTTATAATATTATCTATAACCTATATTATTTCAGATTTTAAATAAAAAATGGTATGTGTACCATGTGTAGCTATACCAATATTTCTCATTATATGGAGATTTTTGATACAACCATTATTTATAAAATGGTGGCAGTTTAGAAACAAACAAAAAGAATTAATAAATAATGAACAACAATTGGTAAAAGAATGTAAAAATGGAGTTTGTACATTATCATGGTCAAAAAAAGAAAATAAAAAATTTGATTAAAAAGCTTTAAAATTCATAAACACTATTTTTATTTAATAGTTTATTGCATAATCAATTAAATTTTATATTTCAGTTTACAATTTTTTAAATTAATATTCTATTTCATGCAAATTGTTTATTATTATATGTCAATGATATGTTATGTATATTATCTACAATAAATATAAAACATATGTAAATTCATACATTACTTCATATTTTAATATAATTATTTACTATCTTACATCGTATTTTGAATAAAATTGAACTCTTTTTAAGTAATAAAAAAGGATATTACGTTTATTAGTTTAAAATACATTATATGTCACTTAACAAACACTTAAATATCAATAAAAAGTTTATTCAGAAATTTTAATGTACATTCCTAAGTTCCACTTCAAACATTAATGTACTATTACCAGGAATAACAGGTGGTGAACCTTTTGCACCATATCTATAACAAATATATTGTTTGTAAGAAATAATAATATATCTAAAACAAAAAAATATATTTAGTTTATAAATAGTAATAAATAACACATACGCCATAGCTGGAGGTATTGTAATACGACGTTTTCCTCCAACTTTCATTCCTGCAATACCAATATCCCATCCTTTAATTACTTCACCTTTTCCAAGTCTAAATTTGAAACCATCTCCATGTGTTGTTGCATCAAACTTTTTTCCATTTTTCAAACGACCCACATAATATACAGATACAAATTTTCCATTCTTAGCAAAAGAGCCATTACCTATTTTTAATTCTTCTATTTGTACTCCACCTTCTACTACTCTTTTTTTTTGATCAGTTTGAACATTCATTTCACTTTGTTGTTGTTCTCCTTTATTTTTTTCTTGTTTTATTTCTTTTCCATTTATTATTATTTTATCTTCTCTTTTTTTTTGTTGCTGTTGTTTATTTTTTTTATCTTTTTGTTGAATTTTTACCTTTTTTTCTTCTTCATTTTGTTCATTTTTTTCTTCATCTTCTTCATCTTCTTCAGTTTCTTCTTCATTTAATAATGAATCTTCATCTTCTTCAGAATCATCAGAGTCATTTTCTTCATTTACTCCATCTAATTCTATATCTTCATCAGAAGATTCAGCTTCAATTTCTTGTTTAAGACGTTTAACATTTTTCTCATTTTTTAAAGAATCTGTAGCTTTTCTCTTAGATTGTTTGTCAAGTAATTGTGGTACCTGCTCATCTTCTTCTTCTTCTTCTATTTCATCTAAATCCAAATCCTCATCAGGTATTAAATAACCAGTTAAATGAACCTGACCATGGCCATGACATATGAATGCTATCGTAGTTCCTTCTTGAAAATTTAAATCAAGTGGTACCTGCCATGTTGAGCTCTTTTTTAAATTGCATAATAAATAACTACTATTTTCATAATATAACATTACTTGTACCACATTGTCATCTATAATCAATAAAATTTGAAATGATTTAGATAGAGATAGAAAAATAATTCAATACTTTAAATTAACATATTTTAAATAATAGAATAATTTATTTTCTAAATTTTTATGAATAAAATTTGTATACAACGTAATTTTACCGGCTGTTGAAAGATTTAAACTGGCCATTGATACATGGAATGATTTTTCAACGGTCTGCGTATATCGCTTATTTGGTTCTAATATTAAACCTAAAAAAAAGAATAGAAAATTATTATTATTATATAATTTTATAAATTATTACATATATACTATTTTTAATGAAATTTTTTGTTTGCAATACAGCAGTAGTTTTTCGAAACCACATGGCGACGCCATTTTAAAACAGTCCATACCGGCAAATTTTGGATTTCGTCACAGATATTTTGACTTTAATGATTATGCTTACCCCAAAACATTTTGTGTGTAATTATATAACTTTTACAGTAGAGAAATGAAATATTAATAATTAAACTTTATATGCAAATAAATTGATAATATACATATATATATATAATATATATATATATATATACACACACACACACACTGAGTTTGTACGACCAATTACATATATCAGGTACTTCTATGACCTCGCGCCAAGTAATGAACAACTTAGACTTCATACAGCGCCGTTACCTAAGTCAGTTTATGTCATGAACTAAATTTTTTATAGATTATGTTTTAGTAACAGTGATAAAAATTTAATAAATTTTAATAAATAAAATTTAAAATTTAATAAATTATTTTTCTATTTTTAATAATTAAAATTAAATATTAATAAATAATACTTTTTATCAATAAAGTTGTATAGATTTAAAATTTATTATTAAAGTGACCATTTTTCGAAATTTTCAAAATTTTATTTTATTTGTAATTTTTTTATAAATATTTTTTATAAATAATTATAAATATTTCTGGATATTTATTTGATATGAATTAAATTATTTTGTTTTGATTTGGAATTATGTAAAATATCATATATATTTCTGAATAATAATAATTTTTTTTTTATTAAATTATTTTTTTGTTTTTTTATTTTCATAATTCAAAAAATTAATTAATAGCTTTTTAAAATGAAATTGATACTTGTTTAATTAGTACTTTAATTTATATAATTTAATTTATATATATATAATTGTATAAAAAAATTTAAAAAAATTTTCTTCTCTTTTCGCTATGATTAAGAAAGATTGTAAATCTAATAATTATATATGTGAGTATTTCATTTAAGGTACGTTTTCATGTGATGGTAAATTAACTTTTATGATATTATACTATATATGATTAAATATTATATATTATGTAGTGTATATATTATATATATTTATAGACGTGATCTGTAAAAATCCTCAAGTCAAATTGGAACAAAGATAATTAGAAAAATGTGATATTATTTATAAGAAACATATAATTTAAAAATAGTACATTAAATATATACTATAAATAGCAATATAGAAATGAGTTACATATTTGTTTATGAATTTTTAAATATTAATAGCGTATATATTATATATTATAAAGAAAATAATTTA